TCAATAAAATCATTAATTTTATTTTATCAAGTAATTTATGTATTGAACATTATTAATTAAATTAATTCTAATTATTACAAGTTAGAATAATTTATTGGCATTGAACATGGTTAGTAAAATTATTTTAAATGTAAATTATATAGTTTAATTTATGTAAAGAAAATTTATCTATCAATTATAACATATATAAAACATAATATAAAAAGATGAATTTAATTGATATTGATAATGTAAATAACATTTGATATAAAATTTGAATAACATTTTATTTATTACAATTGAATACCATAAAATCACAATAAAATGAAAAAAAAACAAAGTGTTTTTTAAGCTCTCAGATCTTATAACAAAAGTTTTATAAGGATAAAAGCCTAACTTTATTACTAGAAATTTCTTCATCGAGCTTTTGTATCTGTCATCGCCTATTTTATCCGAGTGGTGACATGTGGTGGTTTTCATATTATAATATAGTAATATAATAAATGTGTGGGCATGTGTATAATATATAATATGTATATAGTATATAGTTGGCATATTAGATATATCATATAGTGTATAATTTTTGCTAGGTGATTGCCTATTAAATAATAATTAGCATGTTATATAGTACATATTAAATAATAGTTGCATTGCATATCATATAGTTCATATCAAATAATTGCATATTATATTTGATATAATAATTAGTATATTACATAGTTTATATTATATAGTTAGTATATACTATATAGTTTGCATGTTAGAATAAATAGTCCATATTAGTATAGCCCATTTTAACTAATAAAAACCCAAAATAATAGTCCATTTACATAGTTTTTCCAAAGGCTTAAATAAATAGCCCACATTGTTACAAATATATACATAAAAAATATATTAAAAAATATTTAAAAAATCCTAAATTACTTAATCATTAGCCGTTGATTTTGTGTGTTTTTTGGCGAATTTTGATGCTTTGAAAAGTCAAAATGAAACATTTATGGTAGTGTACTTTTTAGGTGATGACATCAACAATCCTTATGAACAAATACAAATTAATCTCCACGATTAGCCTTCATCCAATGGTCACTATTGCTTCAATCCATGTGAAAGAAACATAAATTCATGTGAGCCATTAGATGAGAAGCTAGATCCAATGGCTCCCATTTAGCCACATCATGCATCCAAGTGAAAAAGCAAGAACTAATCTTAACCATTGAATCAAGATTGAATCAAATGGCTAAGATCTCATCATCCAAAGGAGGTGCACTCTCCATAGGCGCATTCCAATCGGACGGAGACCTCGTCTGCGCGTCGCCAATGTGTGGGACCCATGCATCGATCCGATCATCTTCCTCGTTGAGTCGTCAAAAATAGAGCTCAACTATATAGTTTATATATATAGTTCATACGTAAACTATATATATATTATATAGTATATAAATATCATATATAGTATATAGTTTATATATAAACTATAGTTTTTATATATAGTTCATATGTAAACTATATAATATATATAGTTTATATATTTAGTATATACTATATAAATAGTTTATTAATTAATGTATTCAACTATATAATATTCATACATATAGTATATACTTTGAATTTATATAGTACAAATTATACATGTATAAATTATTTTATATAGTATATAAATATCAACTATAGTATATAGTTCATATGTAAACTATATGAACTATATAGTTTATATATTTATATATATAGTTATTTATAATTATATAACTATAGTTTTAATATAATTATATAAACTATATATATAAACACAAAAGTTTAGGTTAGAGGTGACTCTATTAGTCCAGGGTCAGGGCATACCTAAGACTTAATTGAGATTTATATAGGACTTTACATATTGTCCACCAAGTGTGACGGTGACGGGATTCGAACTTGACCTTACAAGCTCAAATTTTTTAATCACAACCACTTGTGCCAACACTCGTTGGCATTATATAAACTATATATTTTATAACTTATTAATATAAACTATATATATATATATATATATATATATATATATATATATATATATTATAAACCATATAATTTTTTTCTTAACTTTTAAAATGAATGCAATATACTATATTTTTCAAATTTGCTTCACATTTTACAATTATTTTCATTTCATTCTTTTGTGTTATTTATTTATTTATTTAAATTTTAATTAGTTCATTTTCATATTTATTCAATTTAGTCATTAAATTTATAGTTGCATATGAATTTGACCCATTCTTATTTATATTTTTGTAATTAGCCCATAACTTTTTAAATGAGTATAATTTATTCATTTTCTATATTAATTTCAACCTCACATTTTAAAATTATTATATTTGGTCCCTAATCAATGCGTATTGCTTAATTTATTTAATTTTTTATTTATAATTTCATATTTGTTCAATTTATTCCTTAATTTTATATTTTTCATAAAATTGATCTATGATTATTTATATTCTTAGTAATTTACTCTAAATCATATACAATTACCAATTGCAATTCAATGTTCGTGAAAGACGAAAATAATTAATCCAAAAAATAAAAATTGACCCGATTTGAACTCAATCCGTATCTGATAAAGATCCTACTTGAATTTTATCTGCTAATGATGTGACCCGATCTGAACGAGATCCGCCTGAAGTTCATCCGAACCTGAATTAACTTGGTCTTTAACTGTTCTGGACCTAAACTGACATCGATCTGAATTAAAAGTAAACCGACCTGAACTCAAACTGAACTTGATGTCAAATCAACCTGAAAATGACCCGATCTGATTTGATCTGGACTCGACCTGATCTGAGTCGAAACATCAAATTAACCTGATTTAACATTTATCCGATTTACCCGATCTAACAAGATCTGACTGAAACTTGCACGATTACTTAATTTTACGCCCTAAAAAATCATGAAATGTATAAAGACAACTGAAGATTGTACACTGACATTACTGGTCCATTAATGTTCTCGGACAAGAAGTGAAAAAGTATATATTCCTTATATAAAGGGGAAGTGTCTCTTTTGATTTCACTTTCAAGATTAATATCTATCTATATACATTTTTCACCATGGAAAACTAAAATGTAATAATAAAGGAAATATAGACGTTGAAATATCCACACACAAAAAAAGGTAACAAATAGACTTAGAAAAGAGAAAAAGGGAATAAAGGGAATTGGCATAATTGAGAAGTGGATGACGATGAACTAAAACTACAGGAGCCAAGTGGCATACTCTCACGTCTGAAACTTGTGCTGTGAAATAAACTTTAAACCTGTATATGTAGTCAACAAAACTCCCATAACCCACAGATTTTTAAAGATAAACGAAGAATTTTATATTAAAAGATGAATTTATAAAATTTTAAGAATAAAAATAAATTATTAATAAAAAATATCTAAAATATATGATAACTGAAAATTTTTAGGAGACGACCTCCTTCAATGTATGTGAAGATTGCTCTTTATTTCCTAAATATCCAGATTCCTCGTCATCTCTTTCCTCCCTTTCATTGGACCGACCTTCACATTGCACTTCCTAGGGTTACCAATGTCTGCACTGCTTCTTTTAATTGTAACCCAATTTTTTATTCACTTTTGATCTTCACTTTCCCACCACATGAAAGATCCCTCTTTTGTGTGCCCACCAGTTAACTACTTATTTTCAATCTCTCTCTCTCTTGTCCACACACATCTACGTACCTACTTTTTCTTTTGGCTTCTTGACCATCATTATTCATATTCACTCACTTCAATTTTAAAGATACATATGTACAATAATGGAACTATTCTATAAAAAAATTGGAGGCCATTTTCTGTCTAACCTCCATCCATTTAATTGTTTACATGCATGAATGATTATTTAGTTTAACTACTAATATATGATTTTTATTATTCGATTAATTCATATCAGATTCAGCAAGATACCCATTATGAGAATTGACCTCTTAATTCAATTTACTCCATTCATACTAGGAATCAAAGCTTAAGTAATATAATGTCTCATCTTACTAAATCAATTGACTATTCATCAAGTATGATTATTTATTTCAAAGCATCCAACAACAACAATGAACTTATATGCTATGCTAGTTTTATAAATGAACTTTTGGTTAATTAATAAAGTGATATATATATATATATAATAATTTAATTAATCTTACATAAATCTAAATTATAATTAATTAATTAACTATAATATGATAATTACAAGATATAATAAGTCTCTGTTTCGTGTTGGTAGATTCAAGATTAAGTGAACTAGATTATCTCATTTTATTACATTTACTTTTCAAAAAGCTTTTACTATAATATCAAATGTATATTTATAATTTTTAAAAGGATCAAATATATATATATTTATTATATAGATATCTATTTTTCTTACTTTGGTATATGGAATTGCCAATAGTTATAATCATTAGTTCACCACTAATGTCATCCGCTAAAATGACAACGTCCAAAATAATTATTTTATAAAAATAATGAAAATTTCAATCTAAGAATAAAAAGTATTTTTAAAAATATTTTCTCAAATTATATTTTTTAAATATTTTGAATTTTATATTTAAAAATTTTGATTTTTGAAAAAATGAATTTTTTTTTATTTTTTATTTTCAGATTTTTAAATAATTTTACCATGTTACACTTTATTACTGGTTATGTTATCTTAACAAATGACATTAACGGTGCACTAATAGTTATAATTATTCGTAAGTTAAGATGTCATATCGGCAAAATTCTTTTAGTATCAAGTAAGAAATATACATAAATTCGAATGTCAAACATGTATTTATCTAAAAATATATTGTAAGAATATGTGATCATCTAATTTGTAAGAATATAGGGATGATTTTATGTTGGTTTATACAGTTGTCTTTTGATATAGCCTTTGTTGCCATACACCCCAAATGATAGAATTAAGTTTGAGATTCCACGTATTTCTCTCTCCGATGTTATTCACAACATTATATATATGCATTCTCCCCCCTAGGCGGTATATGCCAAACAACAATGGCTGGAACCTTAAGCAATGCTAATTTTCTTGACATTCCCGACGTGGTTCTCAATACCATATTCTCCTTAGTTGTTGATACTCGCACTCGCAATGCCATGTCCCTTGTGTGTCTCAAATGGCACTTGCTTGAGCGTTCCACCCGCAAATCCCTCGCCCTCCGCGGCAACGTCCGTGATCTCTTCCTCCTCCCGACTTGCTTTCGAGCCGTTACTGATCTCGACCTCTCTTTGCTATCCCCCTGGGGACACCCTCTTCTCAATTCCTCCCCAAACCCACTTCTTCTCGCCCAACTTCTTCGCCGTGCATTTCCATCTGTCGTTTCTCTGGTTGTTTATATCCGGAACCCTTCAACTCTTCATCTTTTAGCTCCCCAATGGCCTGACTTAAGACATATTAAGCTCATACGTTGGCACCAACGTTTGCCGACGCTACCTCTAGGGACCGAGTTTGTCGCACTTTTCGAGCATTGTCAAATGCTTTCAACGCTCGATATTTCGCATTTTCATTGCTGGACTGAGGATCTTCCTCCGGCTATTGAAGCGTACCCCATTCTTGCAGCTTCTCTTTCTCGGCTTAATATCCTCAAACATTCCTCAGCTGAGGGATTCAAGTCCCATGAGCTTTTAGCCATTACTGCTTCCTGTCCAAACCTCCGTGAACTGCTGGCAACATGCATATTCGACCACCGATTCGTGGGATTTGTCAGCGATCAAACTTTGTTGGCTCTTGCATCAAATTGTCCTAGCCTTTCACTACTTCACCTTGTTGATGCTACTTCTTTATCCAATGTTCGGCCCGATTCGAACGACGACGGTTTCACATCTGAAGATGCAAGTATCAGCCATGCTATACTCGGTGATGTATTTGCCGGATTGCCACTGCTTGAAGTGTTGGTTCTCGATGTTTGCCACAATGTTAGGGACGCTTGGCCAGCGTTGGAGTTGCTTACTTCCAGGTGCCCCAGTCTTAAATCATTAAAGCTGGGACAGTTCCATGGAATCTGCAGTGGCATAGATTCTCGACCAGATGGGATCGCCCTATGCCACGGGTTGGAATCTTTGTCGATCAAGAATTCAGCCGATTTAACCGATAACTCTTTGGAAGCCATTTCTATAGGTTGTCCAAGACTTTCCAAGTTTGAGGTCCTAGGATGTAAGAAAATCACAGCAAAAGGAATATGGAAATTAATTCATGTTCTTAGGAACACTTTGGTCGATGTCAAAATCTCTTCCTGCAAAAACCTCAACGCATTTTCATCGTTGCAGGCAATGGAACCGATTCGAGACCGGATTGAAAGACTCCACATAGATTGTGTGTGGGGAAGTGTTAAAAATTTAGAAATCCAGACAGCTAGTTCCTCGGAAGAAACAATGTTGAAGAAGAAAAGCAAGTCCCACGATGTCGGAAACGACAACTCGTTGTGTTCCAGCACTTGGTCTAAGCTAAATCATCTTTCCCTTTGGATTGCTGTAGGTGAGCTGCTCACCCCATTATCCATGGCGGGTTTAGATGATTGTCCATCACTGGAAGAGATAGAAATAAAGATCGAAGGCGATTGCAGCGATGAACGTAGGCCATGCATGGGTTCATTGGGTCTGCGTTTCTTGGCATGTTATCCGAGTCTTTCGAGGATGCTCCTCGACTGCAGTGGAGTCATAGGTTATGCTCTCACAGCTCCACCGGGGTACCCAGATTTGAGCTTGTGGGAGAGGTTCTTTTTCAACGGAATCGAGATTTTGAACCTCAACGAGCTCAACTATTGGCCGGCACAAGACATGGATGTGAACCAGAGAAGCCTTTTTCTCCCGGCAGCAGCGTTGCTGGCTCAATGTGGGAGCCTAAGGAAACTCTTCTTTCATGGAACAGCAAATGAACACTTGATGATGTTCCTGCTGAGAATCCCAACACTGAGGGATGTTCAACTTAGACAAGATTATTATCCTGCACCGGAGAATGATATGAGCACGGAGATTAGAGTCGAATCCTGCCGTCGGTTCGAGAATGCTCTTAATAGCATCAACCGTCACATTCCTGATTAGAAATATTTGCAGACTTATTTAATAAACCAAAATGCTTACGGATATTCGTATTATGACTACAAAATTATGATTAAAGCAAGCTATGTATGTACTAAGGTAATTTATTGTTCAATTTTTATGATTAAAGATTTTATTTTATTTTAAGAAAATAAAATACAAATTTTTTGTTCTTAAAAAGAGAAAAGGGTAAATCTTGAACACAGGTGGCTTAAGGTGTTAGGTGGAACATGATAAAGCTCGTGAAGCCTCGTAGTTCCTGTGGGTTTCCAATTTTCATCTTACATGTCAATAGGGTATATTCTATTCTATGTCATTTGGATAACATATAACGTGCCATGGGGAAGTGGGAGTTGTCCTATAATACTTTAGTTAGTTATACCCATAATTAAAAAAAAAGATGATTTCTCTTTATTTTTTTAAAGTCAATAGTAAGTATATTTTACATTTTTCATAGTCTACTTTTACATTTGATTTGAAATAACATGATCAGGATGTATTTTACTTTTTTATATTCTACTTTTTTATTTGATTTGAGATATCACACGAATTAAAATAATATGATCAGGATCACATATGTAACTGAATTATTGTAAATGAATGTACCTAATTGATTCTATTGTGTGATTCGGTCTTAAAAGAGAATTTTATTTTTATAGAGAACTCGAGTTCGAACAGTTACGTCTACATAATATGCATTGTTGTGGAATTCGGGTTAATTTTCACCAATAATAACAAATTCACCTTGAAAACTATTATCTAGGTGACTAGTGTGAAAACGATTATACTAAAAATCACCCCAAGGTAGATTCCCAGGAAAGAGGAGGGGTCACAATGATCCCTCTTAAAACCCACTTTCCTTAGACATAACTACCAAGACAAGTAATTTTAATAAGACAATAACTAACAACAACTATACCCGACAATAGCTATTAAATAGACATAAAAGAGAACACCAAAATTTAACGAGGTTCGGCCAAAATTATGCCTATGTCCTCGAACACTACTAAAGTAATATTTCACTAATGAAGGAAATATTACAAAGAGAAAAAGAGTACAAATATCCTTTAATAGTAAAGAATGTTTATATATAAGAATGTTTATATTTGCGGGATGCTTAACTAAGGATGAGGAGGGCTCTATTTATAACAAAAGAATTTCCCCTCCTCCTTATACACAACCAATGTGGGATTTTGCCAAAAAACCAACAAATCTCCACCTTGACAAATTCCACACACATCTCTCAAAAATCCAATCTTCAGTAGTGTCTGCAAATTCATTTTTCAATTTGTAACAATATTGACCAAGTCTAAACAATGTTTAAACTTGACCGCAGTTACCACTTTTGTCAACATATCAGCAGGATTCTCAGTGGTCCGAATCTTCTGGATTATGACTCCACCTTCTTCTAGAATCTCTCGTACAAAGTGATATCGAACATAGATGTGCTTCGTCCTTGCATGGTAAATCTGGTTCTTTGCTAAATGAATAACACTCTGACTGTCACAATGCACTTTGATGTGCTTCTGTTCCATTCCCAATTCACCAAGCAACCCTTGAAGCCAAATTGCCTCTTTCATAGCCTCTGTAACTGCCATATACTCTGTCTCTGTAGTAGACAAAGCCACTGTTGACTATAAGGTGGACTTCCAACTGACTGGTGTCTTTGCAAATGTAAACACATAACCATTAGTTGATCGACGCTTATCCAAATCACTTGCATAGTCTGAATCATAATACTCAACTACACACTGACCATCTTGTTTGTCATGCTGAAAGAACAAACCAACATCTACGGTGTTCATAATATACCGCAGAATCCATTTCACAACTTGCCAATGCTCCTTTCCAGGATCATGCATATATCTGCTCACAACCCTAATTGCCTGTGAAATATCGAGTCTCATAGACACCATTGCATACATCAAGCTACCAACAACCCTTGCATATGGAACCTTTGACATGTATTCCCGTTCTACATCATCATTAGGTGACATGGATGCATCGAGCTTGAAATGAGAATCAAGAGGTGTACTAACTGGTTTTGACTTCTCATTCATGCCAAAACGTTTTAGTACCTTCCTCATATATTCTTTTTGAGACAAACAAAGCCTCCTCAATATCTTATCCCTTGATATCTCCATGCCTAGAATCTTCTTCGCTTCACCAAGATCCTTCATCTCAAACTCCCTGTTCAATTGAGTCTTTAGTTTCGCAATTTCTGTCTGACTCCCGGAAGCTATCAGCATATCATCAACATAAAGAAGAAGATATATATAGGATCCGTCTTGTAGCTTGCCTAAATACACACAATGATCATATTTGCTTCTTGTGTACTTCTACCCTATCATAAACTTGTCAAATCACTTGTACCACTGCCTTGGAGATTACTTCAATTCGTACATCGATTTTTCCAATTTGCACACCATATTTTCTTTTTCAGCAACTTTGAATCCATCTGGCTGAGTCATGTAGATTTCCTCATCCAAGTCTCCATGTAAAAATGCAGTTTTTACATCCATCTGAACTAGTTCCAAATCCAACTGCGCTACCAAAGCCAACAAAATTCTGATGGAGGAATGTTTTACAATTGGAGAAAATACTTCATATAATCAACTTCCTCCGTTTGAGCGTAGCCTTTAGCCACCAATCTTGCTTTGTAGCGGATGTTATTATTGTCAGCAAATTCATCTTTCTTTGCATATACCCACTTGCACTCAATTGCCTTCTTTCCCTTCGGAAGACTAGCTAGTTTCCACGTCTGATTCTTTTGAAGGGATTGCATTTCTTCATTCATGGAGATTCTCCACTTTTTATATTCTGAACTTTGGACTGCTTCATTAAAAGTGGCAGGAACGTCATCAATTGCAATTGGTGATGCAAAAGAGACCATATCAGCATAACGAGCAGGTTGTCTAATGGTCATATTTTCCTTTCTGAGTGCAATTGATTCATGTCGTTGTGGAGGTTCTTGGGTCTGAACCTCTTCTTCATATGACTATTCTTCTACCATAGGAGAGTCAACATCAGTTTTTTTACTGGCTGGGTCAATTCTGCTTTCTTCAAACTCCACCTGTTTGAGAGTTCTATCTGTCTGCTCCAATTTTTCTGAAGTCACCTTTCTCAACATGGTAGATTCATCAAAGGTAACATCCCTGCTGAAGATTATTTTCTTTGTTTCTGGACACCAAAGATGATAGCCTTTCACACCAGAAGTGATCCCCATAAAGATTGCCTTCTTTGCTCTTGGATCCAGGTTTGACTCCTTAATATGGTAGTATGCAGTAGAACCAAACACATGTAAGGAATGATAATATGTAGCAGGTACTCCAAACCATTTCTCTAATGGTGTTTTACCACCAATAGCAGTCGATGGTAAGCGGTTGACAAGGTGACAAGCATAGACCAAAGCCTCAGCCCAAAATTCTTTGCCTAACCCAGCATTAGACAACATACACCGAACATTCTCCACTAATGTCCGGTTCATACGCTCTGCCACCCCATTCTGTTGTGGTGTAGATCTGACAGTGAAATGTCTGACAATACCTTCTTCTTCATAGACTTTCAGAAATGGATCATTTTTGTACTCTCCACCATTGTCTGTACGAAGACGTTTGATTTTTCTGTCTGTTTGAGTCTCCACCATCTTTTTTTATTTAAGGAAAAATCCTAGCACCTCATCATTTGTCTTCATTGTATACACCCAAACTCTCCGGGAAAAATCATCAACAAATGTGACATAATAGTGTGTTCCTCCCAATAAAGTTGTCTTGGAAGGCCCCCATACGTCTGAATGAACATAATCCAAAATACCTTTAGTATCATGGATTGCTGTTCCAAATTTCACCCTCGTCTTCTTCCCTTTGATGTAATGCTCACAAAAAGCTAATTTGTAAGCCCGAGCACCCTTCAATAATCCTTAATCTATCAGCAATTTCAAGGATTTTTCACCAATATGCCCTAAGCGCATATGCCATAACCTGGTTGCTTCTGACTCCTGTTCATCAGTAGAAGTTGCCACTGCTGCTGTCCCAACAATTGTACTACCCAGAAAGTAATACACATTGTTTCTTTTTCAGATTCCCTTCATTATCACCAGTGCACCAGAGATAATCCTCATAATCCTATTTTTTGCCCTCACTTCTAAACCTTTTGACTCTAAGGTTCCCACAGAGATGAGATTTCTCATTAAATCTAGTACATAATGGACACCTGTTAAGGTTCTGATTGATCCATCCTGATTCTTTAAGCGAATTGAACCAATCCCAAGTGTGTCAAGAGGGGAATTATTTGTTGTGTAGACAATTCAACCTTTTAGTTCTTTAAAATCAAAGAACCATTCTCTATTGGGGGTCATATGGTGGCTACAAGCTGAATCTAACAGTCATGAACTGGAATAGCTGGTTGATGGCGTAGCTGCGAATGCGAAATCTGAATCTGCATCATCATACTCAACCACATTTGATTATGAGATATCCTTTCCCCTTTCAAGTTTGCCTTTATTCTTTAGCCTGTGACATTCTTTCTTCCAGTGCCCTTTTTCTCGACAATAGGCACATTCATCTTTGCTCAATATGGACTTTGACTTCGATCTCCCTCTCTTTCCTTTATGCTGACTCTTCAAACGGCCTCTAACAACAAGAGCTTCTGCTTCGACACTTGTGTTTTCTTGTTGGTCTTTCTTTCTCAATTCATAACTATACAAGGCAACAGTTACTTCACTGAGAGACACATCAACCTTCCCATGAAGTAGAGTAGTTTCAAGATACTCAAACTCATCAGGAAGTAATCCCATCAACATCAGAGCCAGATCTTCATCTTCAAAAGTCACGTCCATATTTATCAGATCAGTCACCAGCTGATTAAAGCTAGTAATGTGATCATTCATAGTGGTACCTGGTACATAGTTGAAGCAAAACAATCTCTTTTTCATCTAGAGCTTGTTTTGACCGTTTTTCTTCAAAAATTTCTCCTCCAGTGCCTTCCACAATTTACTTGCAGAAGTTTCCTTAGAAAATGCATACTTCTGACACGATCG